CTTATTTGGGAGCAGTGTTTGTCAACTGAGGATTTATGTGCTAGTTGACAAAAAAAACAGCTTCTAATCGCAGGTACATGAGCCACATTGCTTAAATGAAAATCCTTATGAAATACATTGATCCTGTATTTCAGGATCTGGCTCCCTGCCCTCCCTCCCTTTTTCATGTTAAAGAGTACGTGGTCATAATCTTAGCAGCAAACACAGAACATGGATGCACATAAACATAGCTGAGGAAAGTTAATAATCTAGTCAATCCTAACGTGTGTAAGGAGGAGTGAGTTATTAAATGGTTTCTTGTGGTTGCTTTCTGTCACTTACGCGATGCAGTCTCTTCTGGACCTTTCTGTTCTCTGTAGAGGCGTTTCAGAGGTCCTCCTGATGGTTAGGTTACCTTGGTTGGTTCCCAGCCCAGCAATTTTGAAACAGGAGTGTGGAAACAAGTCACGTGTGGAATACGTGGTGAGGTTTGAAAAAGGCTTCCTGTAATGGAAAGATAAGCCTTGATCCTCCCACTTGATCTTCAAGCAGTTGTCCTCATTTGGCAAGCTCTTGGAGCTAACCCTATTTCCTATTGCAATATATCTGGGTCACTGGAAAAATATGTGTTTAGGAGGAATGCATGAGGTAGGCAAACCAGGTTACATCATCCTCAGGGCTGTCAGGCCATGCCTGCTTTCTAGCTTGTACTGAATCATGTTCAGGGGAATCCAGGTAACTTGAGTCCACACAGAGAAGGGTGAGGGCTCTTGAAAACCATATTCTGAGCATTTATCAGATTTGTGCCAGGTTACATCAGGAGGAGGTAGGTCAGAACACTTGAATCATCTTTAATTCATGAAAGTAGTCATTTAGGGCACTTCTGAAGTGTCAGTTGCTTTTGGTAGGAGTGGAGTATGCTGCTACTTATATAGCCAACTCCATAACCCTTGCTTTTGTAGTTGTGTATTATAGTTCTGGGCACATCAAATGGTGCATCAGAACTTGTTTGTTCGTTGGAGGAAAGGTGTTTGTGTGCCTTTGCATCTTCTAGGTGATAATGTGCAATACATGTTTACGCAGGAGCAGTACCATGCAAAACCCATGTAGTTTGTTCAGGTACTGTGGGGGGTATAAAAACTCACAAGGATTTGTGGGTGGGTGCAAAACCTCCACCTCTACAATTCAGTTGCCGTGACCTTTCTGTGCTTGTGCCGTGCCATGCCATTGAATTGGTCCCATTTCCAGCAGAAAATAGAATAAAAACCAAAATGGAGGACAGAAAGGTAAAACAAAAGTGGTGTGAACTAAATAGAGTTATGTAATTCTCAGAACTCAAGTGTTGTGGAGTAGCGTAGTCAGGGTTTAATGACCATATGTATTACTGGTTTACATGTCCCCTTTTACTTGTACTATGAGAGGATAATGAAATCACTGTAATGCCATTTCTACTCATTTTTTTTCTGTCCCTCTAATCTCCCGTGTATCTTTTTGATACATGGAACATGAATCCTCTGAATGAAAGCAATCAGCCTCAGTAACAGAGTACTTTATGCAGTGACTTCTTGCCAGTAAGACTTTCCCACTCTCCAAGAGGAGACAAACATTAAACATATTCATCATGTTGTATCTACATGGAATCCAGCAGAATTCATATTCAAGAGACTGTTTCTCTTGGTGTACAGGTTGCCTTACCAGGCATCAATTAACTCTGATTTTTCAGGACACTTATTTTCAGTATTTTATAATTAATACCTTGGAAGCTCTGACCTAAGAAGAGATGATGATGAATTTTTATTGACTTGAAGTGAGAGTCAGGGAAGGAAGAACTTCATGTTGAAGAAGAGAAAGTGCTAACATCCAAGGATGTCATTTTCATGCATACATATGCACATCCTTGGAGTTCCAGAGCTGTCTGATATTTCCTCTGCACTGCTGGTAGTCCTCCCTCCTCCTCCATTTCAAGAAGTTTGTTCTCCAGCCTGGTCCCCAGATTTCCTTCATGTTCCTGGGATGGCACTGGGAGAGGCATTAGTGTAGGCATGGTTTTGGAGGCTCCTGCTCCGTGTCTATTCTACGTAGAATTACTGTAAGAGCAAATACAAGGTAGTGGGCCATTGGCATTTGCTTCGTGCTGGTGCTATTACACCTGTCATTTAAGCAATTATATTAAAAAAATATATATATATTTTTGTAGGGAAGAGTGACACAGGCAGAGCCTTGCAAGGTAACTTGGTAACTGTTAGGAGGTATTGGTAAGAGCTATTGAAGTGTCCTGAAAATATGAGAGTTTATTATCGAGACAGTGGTGAACAGAGGTCTTGAATTCTGAATAACAAAACTAGCAGTTCTTTCCATATTGTGTATTCAAGGATGTATTTCTGTGTGTGTTTCCATGTCCCATTTCTTTGCTCACTGGGGACTGCTGCTCTTTGCTGAGGCAGGGTAGAGGCAGGTAAGGAAACGCAGAGCACTGTGAGAGTAACACACCACCAATCTGTGCTCAAAATGACGTGTTCAGTCACAGTAATATTAAATTGCTATAGCTAAATGAGGTTTAGTTTTGGATATTAAGATACATAGCCAGTAGACCTGCTGACAGGGGACTCCAGTGGAAGACCTGGGAGTTCTGTACTGTTTCCATCCATATCAAGTCTGTATCACCTTTCTCTATGGAAAGATCTAGCTGTTAATACAGTGAGTGCAGAAGAGGTTACTTCTAGTTAATTCACCTACCTTTCAAAAATAATTTTTCAGGTTGATATAGTTAATTATACTCCCCCAACATTAAATGTATTCATAGTCCTGATAGGATTTGCACAGAAGACTGCATACATTAAAATATAAGAAGTCTTTTTAAGACGTGTTTTACTGCTGAAAATTCTCAGTTCCACAGTCGGGGACTATGCAATGACAGTACTCTGCCATTTAATTCCTCTTTGTTCCTTCTCTGCTTTGCTAATATGTTCTGTAACAAAGTACCTTATTATAAAGCTACGTTGTTTGTTTCTCAGTGTTATGTTCACATGACCTCTAACCTGATCCTAGATATTAAAAGTGATACTCGAGTCTTTGGTTCTGTTTTGCCATTAATAAGTTCATATGTTTAAGCTGGAGATAACTGGGACATTGAAATACATATAAACAGAATGGTTACAAGTGTTAACATTGGCTTACTCTCTCTGAATAGTTAATATGTATTATTAACCCCTTAATAGTTAGGAATTTGGTAAGATCAAAGTAACATTTCTAAAAGATGCAGGGTTTTTTAACTTTTTTGATGTGCAGTTGTGGGGATGAGTTTGGGACTTCTAGATTTGCACTTCTTGGGTATTGGCAGGTAGGAGACTAATGGGTTAATAGATTGCTCTAAATAAGGATGCAGATGTCATCTTGAAATACCTCCTAATGAAATATTGATTGGGCAGAATGATTGTATCCTTGTCTGCATTTATAATCAGAAAATGCCTTATGTTGTAGACCACATTAATTAACATGACCTTAAACATAAGTTTGACTGAAGTATTAATGCACAAGTGCAAAGCCTAAAGGAAAAACAGTGTGGTGGCAGCTCACGCTCCCACTGAAGACATGGACTTAAAATGTCCACAGCTTCCTCATCCTGTTGCCTTCTCTGAATGCTTTAATTGTACTTCATGCTTCAAATCTATTGCTATTTTTTTTATTTTTTTCTCTATTCTCTTTCAGAAAGATGAGGTGTACCTCAACTTGGTGCTGGACTATGTTCCTGAAACAGTATACAGAGTTGCCAGACATTATAGTCGGGCCAAACAGACACTCCCTATGATTTATGTCAAGGTAGGTAACCGATAGATGTGGTTAGATGAAGAAGGATATTACAGAATAGACGCTGTGGATACATCTTTTCTGCCATAATAAGTTTTCTGAAATTTTTAGGAGTGCATTCATCTCGAGGCAAGGGGGGAAAAAAAAATTAGAATGATTATTTGTTATGGTGAAGGAGGAATAGAGGTGAGAGGCTTAAAGCAATTGCTCCTGATTTCTCACTTCACAAAAATCTTGGAATGGGTGGGGGAGACCAAGTGTCGGGGGAATGCTTTGTTTTCTAAGCAGCTTAGATACTGACACCAGCCAGATTAGCAACTTCAGTTTCCTGAGATGATGAAGACACAATAGTGCAAAGGTCAGGAACTGAAAAAGGATGTCAGGAAGAATAGTCTTCTCTTATCTGTTATCTCCTGGCTTATGAGTAGGAGTTCATGTGCTTCTGTTGTGGACATGAAAGGCATATTTTTGTCCCCTTCCCTGCACTTGGAGCTCAGTGACTCTTGTCCTGAAGAGTAACACGAGGTGAGGTGTTTGTAATGCACATTGTAGCATCAAATCCTCACTTAAGTTGTTCTGCATCTTTTGTCATCTTTTACAAGGTGGTTAAAATGAATAAAATTACCTTTTTTTTTTTTTTTTTTTTTTTGGTCGAACATGGAACTCATCTGGGTCTTGTAGTTCCACTTATTAATGTATTGTGACCACAAGCCACATGCTCATGAATGATCGTGTTTTCACATGGCATTAACTTGTTAATGTGGCAGCCAGGTTACATGGAAATTAGCAAAGAATATTCCTGACTTGTATTATTTCTCTGGACTCTTCTTTAAAATGCTTTAACATGAAGATGGGCTTAATAAAAAACTTCAGTTTGACTGGAAGAAGATGAAAGTTACAAAGATGAAAGTTAGAAATAGTAATTATTCCAATACCAATGTTGTGTCATAACTGTATATGTGTGAACTGTAAATAGTGTGTCTCTGCAGTAGCCAGCACTGGTGCCTGGTTTTAAAAAGCACAGAATCTTATTGTCCAGCAGTAAGAATTTCTACTGTAAGGTCACTGTTTGGTCTGTTGGTGGAACAATTTCTTCAGGTTATATGCTCCCCAAAACTTGTTAGCTTAGCTTCTGATAAATTGTTTGTGTGTCTTTTGTCAGTACTCTTGCCCTAATTGCTCTTCATTATGGAGACTAGGGAAAAATTGTCTTTACTTATCCTTTGAGAGAAAATTCTGCTGCAACTCTTTCATCTTGCGGTATAGTTGGGACTTCCCATTTCAGGTAGCCTGAAAGACTGTTCTTATTTTTCTGTCAAGGCAAGCCTTTTTCATAATCCTGTATTTAAAAAGATCATGTTACCTTAATGTCATTAAAGCTTTTGCAGTTTTCCAGACATCTTGGCTACCCAAATACCAGATCATACCTATTTGTTCACTTCTGATTGATACCTCTCAGACTGAGAGCTGCTCTTCCCTGGGTAACAAACTGTTAAAGAACTGCAAGGAAGCTTTTCTAGTAATCTTCTCGTTAATTTTTATTTGTAACTTCTAACATGCTGTAAGAAATTCTTGGAAATTTTGGGTTTGCTGTGTGGAGATGAAAGGCATACTTTCTAAATCCCACATGTTGACTTGACTCCTCAAGTTAGAGCAATCTTTTGGATTATTTTGCAATACACTTGCACAATACATACTTAACACATCTAGGACAGGCAATTGAGAAAACATGTTTGTTTGCTTTTCTTTGTGCAGAGTTGTGGTTTTGAGAAACAAATATGAAAACTAAAGACCTAGAGACAAAATTGAGGCAATTCTCTTGCTGCTCCTGCCTTCCCCACCAAACAAAAAACAAGGGGGAGAGAAAGAGTTGAAAGACAAAGATAGCAGTGAAAGTGAGGCAAACATGACCTGATAACAGTATCTAGTAATTGCACCCGTTTCACAGACCATTAAAGGTGAACACTGGAGAATGTGCTTAGAAAAAGACAGCATGGAGGTGCATCTCCAGTACAATGTTCTGTCTGTAGCTTGACTTTCAAATGGAACCTTGTGGAGGACACAACAAAGATAAAAAATAACCAGACAGCTTGTTGTCAACCTTGAAACAGGACTTTCCATGCCATTATGACTGTATATGCCATACAGCCCTAATTGTATCCAGCAACTCTTTATTCTCCATAGCCAAAAATGTGTAGCTCCAGCAGCTGGTCATATTCCCCTTGCCTTCTAATCTTGCCTTGTGAAGCTCTTGGATTTGGAACATCTCCCTTTGCTGTATTCCCCCTTGCTAAGGGGATAGCCAGCCTTGGACAGGGCAGCAGAAAACTCTCTCAGCATTTGCTGTGCCTTGCATAAAATTATTCTGAACAATTGTTTTTATCTGCCTTCTCTTTTCGCCCAGAGATCTGAAATGAAAATGAGTCTGTCCCCTCACCAAGAGAGAGTTGGTGAGGGGACAGACTTCCCCAGTTTCAAGAGAAACTGAAAATACACTCAAGTGACACAACAAAAGGGTTTTCTTTGTGTTTTTTGAGAGTGATTTGGGATTTTTTGTTGTTCCCCCCCAATAGCCTGAAATACTTCATTTCTATGAAGAGGCTGATTTATAAAGTAAACTGAAATACCTTTATTTTATTTTTTTTAAAATTGTTCTCATTTCTGAAAGGACAAATGAGTAACTTTGAACTGCATGTGTGGGCATGTGGCAAAGGGTGGGTGGGGAAGGTATGCGAATACCTTGCCCATCTTCATAGCACTAATATGCATTTGGTAGGGTCTTCTTTGAGTGATTTTGTTTTTCTTCTGAGAAGAGTTTGTGCTAAATTAATTGCTTACCCTGTTTTGAGTGGGAAAGCATGCCTTATGCAATGTTTCTGTGTTCCAGTTGTACATGTATCAGCTGTTCCGGAGTTTAGCCTATATCCATTCCTTTGGGATCTGCCACCGGGATATAAAACCACAGAACCTCTTGCTGGACCCTGATACAGCTGTTCTAAAACTCTGCGATTTTGGAAGGTAAGTGCATCCATGGCCTGAAGCCTGGTGAAAACAGCTTCCTTCAAAGTCAACCTGGGTGTAACTTTGCAAATAAATGCTCTGTGTTCCTCAGAAGTTCCTTCATTTGTAGTTTTGAAAGAGAAATTATTGATATTCTGTTTTCCTCTTAAAGTGAGCTCATATGAGAGAAGGGGGGGAAAAGAGCTGGAAAGGGATATCAAGAGGGAGAGAATTAAAGGTCAAGCCTGTTATTTATGTAAGTATTAAAAAAAAAAATAAAATAAATATACCATCACATAGGGAAAATACTGCACCATGGAAAAATACAACCAGATATTAGGCTGAAATGTGTTTGTGGAAGAGAAGACAAGCGCAGTGGCATAGTAACCTAAAAAGGCTAATGTTGCACTTCATTAGTCTACTTGTATGTACACCAGTTCACTTAATATTTCAAATAGCATAGAGGCTCGAGCTCAGAAGCAGCACTGCTAGGTGAAGCTCTTAGATAGTGGATGTCTGTACCCTAGTTTCCAATGGCACATTTATTTCCAGTGTCTGTTCAAGTGAATCACATTTAGAGTCCAGCCCTCATCTTTAGAACTGGTACAGAAGTTCTGGGAATCCACACTGAGACAGGAGACAGATTTCTCTTCAGGAAAGTTCAGTCTTTAGATTGTGCTATAACTTTGCAGACTAAAATAGTTAGGGCATATGTGGGAGAGGTCACGGAAGCTGCTGTTGCTAATTTCACTTGCCTGTAGTGAGTGGGAATGTCAGATGGTGGTTATTTAAGCAGTGCATCCTCATGCCTAGTGGCTTGGGAACCTCCTCCTCAGCTCCACCTCACCAGTGTTGGAGCAAAACAGGAATCACACCAAAACTCACAAGTAATGATGCATAAAAGGTGGTACCTCTGTGTTAACAGTGAGAATTTGTTAATTGTAGTTTTCTACATATAAAACAGAAAACTGAGCCTCTTTAAAACAGGCTAAATGCGAAGTGGGAGTCCTGATTCCCTGAAGGCTGAGAAGAGTTTCTGGAAGGCCAGGCAGTGGATTTGGCTTGCTTGCCACTGTGCTGGGTTTGATGCTACTTAGTTGAGGGTCATATTTCTGAAAGGGCAGTTTTATCTTCCAGCTCCTTTACTTCTAACACTTAGTGTTAATTAAGAAAGAAGTGTAACGTGTTCCTAGACTCAGGTTCCAAAAGTAGTGTGCTTGTGTTCCTTTATTTGCTTAGATTCTTCCAAAGGCAGTGGTTGGGGCTACACTGTAGGTTAGATTCTTTGTACCTGATCTCTTGCAGTATAAATGAAGCCTTCCTGTTAATGTGGACCATTAACATGTGACTATAGTGACCAAGTTTTTTTCCCCTCTGTCTCTTCATACCCCTTTTGCCTCATACCACCTCATACTCCCTTAAACAGCAAAGAGCCAGAATATTGTGATGGAAATTTAAAAATAAAAATGAAAAAAATACTCTCAGCTCTGGTGAGTATCCAGAGCTTATGAACCTTAGGCGGTAACTATGTTTAAGTGAACTGTATTCTGTCCTCTTATTATTTGTAAACAAACCTTTGTACCTGGCAAAAGACAACTGCCAGCCTAAATTCTGACCCTATTTATCACCTAGATTGTAGCCAGAATTTCCTTTGCTACATCCAGTATAAGGTAGCGGCTTGATAGATTGGACTGATTTAACGGTAAATCATTGAGTCTATGGCTTACATCACTTTAGGAGAACATGGTACTTTAGCATTTAGGAATTGGGGGTGGGTGAAAAGTGCTAAAGCTTGATTGATGTTGGTCTGCACTGCAATATTGTAAAACTATTCATTACTGAAAGATTTTTTTTCTTTTTTTTCCTTTTCAGTGCGAAACAGCTGGTTCGTGGAGAACCTAATGTCTCATACATCTGCTCTCGGTACTACAGGGCACCAGAGTTGATCTTTGGAGCCACCGATTATACCTCCAGTATAGGTATGTATGTGTACTTGTTGAAATATATACATATATCAGCTGTGTGCGTTTTTGTTCTGTTGTTATATGTAAAGGTTCCCAGAGGCAGAATTTTATTGTAAATGGTCAGGTACCATTTCTTAATGAAATTCATGCATTTCGTAGACAACTGCTGTGACTTTTATGCCTTTTGAGATTTCAGTGTCTGTTACATTAGAGAAGGGGCTTTTTAATGTATGAGAGGGAAATCTGATTTCAAACTAAATATTTCCAGCTCTCCAGGTAATTTTGCTATTTAGTTTAAAAGTAGGTATGAGATCTCAAGCCAAAAAAAGCATTTTGATGACTTAAAATAACTGTAAAGTATAACTGTGGAAATATCAACTACTGCTTCTGATATGCTGCAATTTAGACACAAAAAATTCTGTAACTTATTAACTTAGCTTTTAGTAAAGTGTTTTTAGTGGGAGGGAAAATGTGGCTTAATGATTGGCTTTAAACTCTCATGACAGTTTTAAATATATTGTGTACAGCAGTCTTTTTGGTTCAACTTACTCTGTTAACTTTTGCTGTTCTTTAGTCATTAATTTTGAACGTGAAGAAGACTTATTTTTCTAATACCTGGCATGTAATTATGTCATGAAAGTGTTAAGGAAGCTGGAGGTTTTGGCAAAGGACAGGGAACAGCCGAGTCTTCTTACAGTAGAGTCCTAAAAAATGAAGAGCAAAATTAAAAATCATAAAAATGAACAGCAGTGTGTCAGCTGGTTGTGGGTAACAACTTCAGTTTTTTAGTCAAGATATTCCCTGAGGTCCTTCTGAGTGCCAGTGCTAAAGAGGCAGGATTTGGCTCTCAGGTTCCCCAATATCGTGCTAAGCTTTTGTCTTGATTATGGACTTGAGTTGCTGAGGCAGGGTTTAATATATCCAAAAGGATTTGGAGATGACAGTCAGGTCTTGGCAGAATGTTTATAACAAGTTAAAGTAAGTTTAAAGTTGGTATCTTCTAACTAGTGTTAAACTCAATGGCTGGCTGGCTCCTTTCAACTCTGCAGTTGTTTGAAAATAGATGCATTCCTGAAGATTTACCTGCTCTCACTAGTTTTGTTTCCATTGATTATTCTTCAGTATGTATTATAGTGACACTTTTCTATCTCCCATGGAGAAAAAAGAGGCAGAACCATAAGAAGTCTGGGGAAAGCAATGGCACAAAAACAGATAAAAGGGCAGAACTCATTTAATGGTTGGCTGTTGCCAAAAGTGGCAGCCCCAGCCCCATTCTTTCTTGCCCCTGGATACCCTATCTCTCATGGTTTCCTGCTTAATACACCGGTTCAGCTTCAGCTGACAAGTGGCTTTGGTTAGGTTCACTTTCTGCTATCTAGTGAGTTGAATCAGTATTACTGTGTAGTCCGATAAGCAGCAGACCCCAGGTAAAAGCAAAGTGGCGGGAGCTCGTGAATGAGAGGAACACGGCTGATCCCAGGTGACATCTTTTTGCCAGCTGAGAGCTAATAGATTGGCTCAGCTGCATTATCAGAGTGCACCAAGACAACTTGTTTCGGGGGATAACTGCATAAAACAAATATTTTAGGTGTCACCAGAAAGGATTGCTTTATAGATAAGCCCGTGAAATGCCTCTTGCTCCCACTGCATAATGACTTCAGTCTTGCGCTTTTTTGCAGAACATTTTTAAAGTTGCTCTTTCCATTTTTGTTTTCTTATCTGCTGGTCTCTAAAACAGTTCTAAGAAAAATATCATTCTAAAGTAATGAATCCACTTTCCAGTTGCCAAAAAAAATTATTAATTTCAGTTGTTGTGGTTCAAACTTTCTCGTACCCCCTCGAAAACCTCCAAGCCCTTTCTCTGAAAGTTTCACAGAATCGCTTGAAAATGAAGTTTAGCGAATACTCCTTCCTTCCTATCCTTTACTCTCTTCACCTCCTTCTCAGCAAAATTGTTGCATTTGGAAGCTAAGTAGTAATAAAATGCTTTTACAGACTTACTTTGCAGTTTCCCAGTGTTCTGCAATGTTAGAAATTGTAGAGGTTTGGCTTTGTGGTGCTGCTGTTTCCAGTGGTGGTAATACCACGGTATTCCTCAGTTCTTGCTAGATAGGCAGCAGCAGTGCTTAGTGAGAACTTCCCGATTTCACATCCAAACTCAGCCAGTGTTATTCGTACACCAACCAACAAGCACAGATAGGTTTCTTAAAAGAGTGGAAGGAACGTTTAATTGTCAATACTTTATCCATAGCTCAAAATATAGGGAACTGTGAAATGCTTCAGTATTGTAATACTGCATTTTAAACCTTTTGTTTTTAATGTGAACATGCTCGTGTCTTCTAGTTATTGTTTTCTTCTGAATTGTTAGCACAACAGCCTTTTCCTGCTCTAGTCTTTTCATCTATATAGGAATCCATCTGTTTGTGTGGTAACAAAAACTGAACTTAAATGTCAGGTAGGGATCTTCACTCTTCTGTTTAAATACACTATCTTAAAACTACATTAAAAATAAAATCAGTGAAGAATATGAAGCCAAAAAGTGTTCTAAGGAAAACTTTTTTTTTTGTATGTTATCTGTGAGGCAACCAGCTCTGTCCCTAAGGTTTTTGTTGTTTGCATGAAGAATATGAAGCCAAAAAGTGTTCTAAGTAAAACTTTTTTTTTTTTTTTGTATGTTATCTGTAAGGCATCCAGCTCTGTCCCTAAGGTTTTTGTTGTTTGCTAACATTACTGCAGGGCTTGAGATTATAACATGCTGCAATGTAGTAGTTATTGGAAGTATTTCTGAGCAAGAAGTGCTGTTTAAACATAGGCAGTGGTGCTGTTGTGGTCCAGGACCAACAGTCCAGCCTGGCTGCATCATGACTGTTTCAGTAGTTAGTCATTTGTTTAGCTCGGTAGCCAGGAGTTGCATTAGGCTGTCTGGCTTCATCTAGGTTGTCTTTTAACACATTGATTTGTCCTTGTGATGTTTCTTACTCTTCAGTGTAGCAGAAATTAAAGTTGGTTCCAGGATGTGTCTTTTCTTCCTGGATGTCACCACAGAACTGTAAACTGGCTTTTAACTTCTAGAATCTTGATGATTTCATCAAAGTGCATGACTTAAATTCTAACCCAAAAGGTCCCTATAAAAATAACTCATAGCCGGGATGGTGTTTGTTGCACTTTGGTGAAGTACTGCATTAGTGCTGTATTTAAATATATATTATAGTAAGAGTAGCATCACTGCAGTTAATGCCTCTGTATGTGTCATCTAGCTGACCTGGGACTATTATTAAAATAATGACCTGGGAAATGACCTATTCAAGTTTCTAAATAATCACTGTTGCCAAATAGCTACGAATCCAGGCCCATAATAGCTCTGTCACCTGCCTGCGTTATGACTTCAAGGGATTTTTCAATGGTCAGGCACAAGCTTTCATGTCAGTTGGGTGCCTTCATAGCTTGAACAGTTTGGGCCTTGGTGCACCTTTGACTATGAAGATTGCAAGTGTGTGCATGTCCCTAAGGCTTGCTGGGGATGGGACCTAGTTTTGTTCCTGCAACTGATTTGTAGGAGGTTTGGGGGTTTTTTTGGTAAACTAAGCCCTTCTGCTATCCCTTGAGAGCGTTTTGGCTGAAGCTTCTTCCTTGCAGGTCTGTGTGCGTTAGGCCATCTCAGAGGTGTTGCTGGCATGCCGCTGGCTGCACTGGTCATAGTGATGCTGCTGCCTGCTGGAAAACCATGGGATGACTGCCCACATTCCCCCACAACATCCTGGGACAAACACAGGCGCTGGAGCAGGGGTGGCTGCAGATGTTTCTGTTGCCACACGATCCTCTTATATAGAAAGAAGCCGTGCAGTTAAGCTCTACCCCCATAACATGCATTTTTTTACCAGGTTAGATGATGGGGAGGTGGAGGGCTCACCAGAACGTGGCAGTGCTTCTGGATAACAAGGGTCTGCTGGTCTCAGCGCATTTTCTCCGTACTGTGCTGGCAGGAGTTGAGAGCGTTCCAGAGAGAACATTTATAGCCACTGGCAGAGAAAGATTGATCTGCATGGCTGTATTGCTGGCTTCTCCTGGGGTGTCCAAAAATAAGTATCATGAAGTTATTCATTCACTTTCCTAGCAAGCACTAAGACGGAGGGAGGGAGTATTTCACCTCAGTGATCTGGAGCAGCAGCTCCTCTTGGAGGCATGCGCAGTCAGCCTGTCTCTTGGGGAAGAACCATCACAAGGTGTGTCCCAAACCTGTTGCCAAACAGTGAAAAGTATTTGCCTCTGTGTCTCAGATGGCAACTTCCAATGCTGAAAATAAGCACAGGCATTAATTTACTGAACTGTTTTATCACCTGTCATTGCAGTGATAAATGCTCTTCAATGCAGAAAAATAGATACCTGTGTTTAGCTTTTGTTCCAAGTACCGGAACATTTTCGGGTTTCATACTTACTTTGTCTCCATAATCTGTGCATCTCTGGTGGCTTAATGTGTAGAACTTGTACATGCCCGTAATCCAGAATATTGCTCTAGTTCTGACATTGCAAAAAGTGTTCCAAACAAGCAGCTGTGAAAAGCACTTTGTGCTCTGGCATTTGGCAACTAGAAGCTGCTGATTTTACGACTTCCTGGGGCTGGTTTTCTCACTCTTGATTTCTTCCCTGCTAGTTTGTTTCCAGAGCAGCTACTTTGAGTCACCTCCAAGATGGAGGAAGTCCATCAAGATCAAGGGATAGTGAAGGAGAGATTAATAGATGAGGGGGGGAAGAAAACATAAAAAGGTAAATATGCCCCATATAGTATCAGATAAAAGTTAGTTCTTAATCTCTACTAAATGGATAAGGGCAGGCTCAACTTTGTGGGGGGTTTTTTTGTTGGTTTTTTTTTTTTCCTTCATGTCCTCCAAATAAGTAGTTAGAGAAGCTGGAGCATAATGCAATGAATGGTGCTCATGCCATGAGGAAGAGGACAAGCTTCTCAGCTTGGAAAGGCAGAGATTGAGATCACAAAAATGAAATTCATGTACCAGGTATTCTGTTGCAGACAACTGGAAATGACTATTGCCACTTGTGGAATTAAAGCTAAGGAGTGTATTTTTGCAGTGGTCCTGCTGGATACCTCTTCCTGAACTAAAGAGAAATTTTCCTTTTCTTGCCTTCTCTAGCACTGGAATGGCATTCCAAGGCAAGTTAATGTCCACCTAACAACTGTGAAGATAAATAATAAAGTAATAAAAGCTTAAAAAAATTTTGAAGTGTAAGAGGCTCTGTGAATTTTGGTGTGCTTAAATTAGTGCAGGTAGTTCCTGTGATAATTGTATTTGTCTCAAGTGTTCTTCAGCCTACAAAAGATACAGCATTAGCTATTATTATAATGTTTGAAAGCTAACTGAAATAAGTTTACTTGAAGGTTGCTTTTGGCTGGCAGTTGCATTTACTGTCTGTTGTTTAGACTTCATTTCACCAAAGGTACAAAGCCTTGCCTGCCTACTTCTACATAAAATTAGTAGCTTTCAGTATTTTCTCTTAAAATTTCACATTGTCCCAACTAGCTTGGTGTAAGGATGATTTGTTGACTGGATTCCTTTTTTCTGGTAAGGTTCTCTCTTGTTTATTAACTAGTTTAAAACATGTGAATGATAGTCATATTTTACCTTAATTAAATTACGCATATTAAAAAGAAATAGTTCAGAAAATGCTTCTCCTCCCATGGGAGTGAGTAGTTACACCACAGACTTGTTCTGAAACATTATTAGACTATAATAGTTAGCTGTGGCTGTGCTAAGGCAGCAAATGGTCTGGGAAGGAGCTATCGAAAACTAGTATTAACTACCTTATCAATTCTCTTAAGTAACGTGTCTTTAAATCTTTACTTCAGACTTGAGAAAAATGTTGCTATTGAAATTAGGAAGATAAATTTTAAAATGCCAGATTCAAAGGAGACCAAAAAAAAAAGGGGGGGCAGACTGTCCCAGAGCCAATTTTAGTCCTGTTAGAGACAATGGCATAAACTCCATCGAGTTTCAGCAGAACTAAAATTTCTCAGTTTCTTCCTCATTGTACATTGCTCACTAGAGTTGTATAAACACTTATGTAAATTGTGTTTTGTTGCATCTCTGCTTGGAGCTGCTGAAGTTAGCCTGGACTCTCTGGCTTTTGTTGAGGATGCTTCAAGGGTTTGTTCATTTCCTTGCCCAGGGAACACTGCCCAAGTCCTAATTTGGAAGTCAGTAAAATTACACTCCTGGAAAAAAGTTGGGGATTTTGGAATGCCTGTAGCTTATTTCAGTGCATGTTTAAAGTGTTAGCAAGTAAAATCAAGGAAAATTCATTAGGCTTTAACAAGGCGTTAAATCACGCCACTTGGAAGACTTCAGGGCACGAGGAACAACTCCATAGGTTTCCAGTGAATTTGTTGTCTGTTTGATGGATTAAACCCACCACAAATACAGCAAGTATTCCTCAGACTTCCCAGCTATTTCCTCATGACCTACATACTTTTTTTTCCCTCCCCTCCTCTCTCCCCCTGCAATGCCCTCAGCTTTCTCATGTATCTTTAGTGTTTCTGCATGGCCTTTTTGCTTGAGCAAGGACCTGCACATCCTCTGGCTTGTTTGCAGCTGCAGTTTGGCAGGGTGAGGGCAAGCCCAGCGTGTCCCACAGGGACTGAGCCATCCTCTCCTCAGCAGCATCACTGATGCGTGCTCTCCCCACTGCTTTTACAAAACTTTTGCAGCGGAGTCGAGACTCCTGCCTTTCAAACTTGTCTGCAATTGGCTGGTGGAGTGCAAAGGTGTTCAGGGAGACTGGGAAAGGATAAAACAGCACAAAGCTACCTTCATGAAGCAGGCACACCAGAAGGTTATTTAGAACAGTTCTTAAAAGCCACAGTCAAATAATTAATAAATAAATAAATAAA